GGTTGTAAGAGCGATCTAGTCCATCTTTACGAGCTTGAGCCTTCCGCTTCAGTGCTGCCCACTGTTCTCTAGCTTCGTTCATTTTTGTAGTTATTGCATCGGCTCGATCTGGATGAACCTGCGCAAGCCGTTCCGCTTCCGCCGAAAGCGAAGTCATCTAGAAGAAATCCTTTCCAGTAAAAATTATTTATTCATTCTAAAAACCGTCTTAAATAGATACAACTTATACCTAGATTTAACTGCACTGCACGCCCACATTCTTATTGCAAGAATGGATATAATCAGTGTGACTTCTTATAATCTTGCAAACTACCATTGCTTTCCTGGTTTTGTGGGAACATATATAAAAATATATACACAGAACTGCGTGGAACTCAGTTTTCGACCTCAATGATTTTAGTATCTAAAAGCAATTAGGAAAAATAAACCTTAGCGTCTAATGCAGCTAAATCACGCTCAGTTCCTTCGTGCTTACGTTGTAACGCTTGTACGTTGTTCAAATCTCGTCCATAATCATCCGATGATAGCGTAGCATCTTTTTCACCAATCCAAGCCAAAGTTTCATCAATGTCACGGTTAAAACGCTGCACTTGATGTGCTCCAAATAAACCTTCGCGTCTGGAATTCAAAAACTGTTCAGAATTTAGAAATCAAGCATTGAATTTCTGACTCAGCTTTTCGTTTTTAACACTGGTTAGATTCAAAAAAAAAAAAAAAAATTGTCTAGACATAAAAATAAGTGTAAAAAGATTTTACCGAGTAGCAGCAAGAGTATTAAGACGATGCCAAGCATCATTAACTTCTTCTTTTTTCCGACTGATAGTTTCATACTCCGTATGGCCTTCATCAATAAGCTTGTCAGCTGCCTGGTTAACTTCTGTTATGCGATAATGATGATTGCCCAATTCTTTCAAAAATTCTTCAAATTTTCGTTGTAAAACCTAAACGATAAACAAGTGATCTTTTCGACAAAAATTTGTGTAAAAACGTTGCTTCATTAAACGTTTTCAAAACTAAGAAACCTCAACGTGTTCCAAATCTTGACCAAAATCTTCGGCAGTAACGAAAGCCTCTTTATCACGAATCCAGTAAAGTACTTCATCGCACTGTCTCATAAATTGTAAAAGTTTTAACGCTTGTTGAAGCTTAATTCCTTTATCTTTTAATTTGAAAAATAATTGATCCCATAGCGAATGGAGTTCATGTAGTCGTCTCTGAAATTAGAAGATGCCATTTCACACCAGAAAAATTATCTCACTAAGTTTCCTAAAAAAGATAAAAGCTGCTGCCCTTATAATCTAAAATTTTGTATTAATTATACTATCTTATACAATTAATTACCTTGAACTGTTACATTGCCTTAAACCTAAGCGTTCTTCTCAGACCAAAAATAATTTTCCGTACAGCTTGCACTTTTTTCCCATTATCTGTTAATTTCAAAGCGTTGTCTATTCCTCAATTTCAATCTAGTATTTCCAGCAAAAAATCTATCTGCTACTTTCCTTATTCATTCAAAAAACTCTCTTTTATTAATTTTAACAGGGAATAATCAACATTCATAATGATCATCGTCTATGAAAAATTCATTTACCCTAATGATATCCGAAGCAAAATGTTGATGTTGTATCATATCAGTGCCGGTTTTATCAAGCTGCGATATAGCATTTGAATGTGCATGGACTTCGGCTTCAAATGCCTCATGTTTCTGGATTTTTGCCTGCAAACAGCAATCATGCATAAACTTTTTCAACAAAAAAAAAAAATGTAAACTTCCTTTCATGAAATCTAATCACGAGATTTAGTGCTCGTTTCAGCAAAATTTTTAATGATTCTTTACATTAAATAATGATTTATCTGCTTTAGAGAATCATGTATTATCATGCTCAAAAAAGTTTGCAAAAAAAACTTGTAAATTAGTTGGATCTCGAAATGACTCTTCTGATGCTGTTTGCAGCTTCTCAAGTATCCAAATTTCCAGCTCATCCGCATCTCGTTTGAAGTACTGGAATTGTCGTGCTTCTTCCAAACGATCACGTTTAGCACGAGCAAATTCTTTAAACTGTGCATAATGCCCAAGCACTTCAGCTCGACGATTCTGCAAAAAGGAAATAACCATGAAAGAAGAGAAACACTACATACTTTTTTGTAAACCATTTAAAAAAATTTCCAAAGGAAATATTTATACATCTCAACAACCAGAAAGCACAAGCACTGCTTTATTTGTAATATTTGTCCTTTTTACCCACCTAACTCTCATTTTTCCAATTATTTTACCTATCTGTCACAGAAACCTCACTTCTCACCCTCGGAATTAAGAAAACATTAAACGGTAACAGTAAGATAGTGTACCTCAAATTATCAACAACATACAGCTGCATTATGTTTTATAAGTAAGGTTGATAAAATTATGCTGCTTCACTTTTAATTCATTATGACTATTAACATTTCTAGTAGTTCATTGCATTATGTTTTATAAGTAAGGTTGATAAAATTATGCTGTTTCACTTTTAATTCATTATGACTATTAACATTTCTAGTAGTTCATTCGATAAAATTTACCTGAATATCTTCTGCACTTTCAAGAATCTTAATTTCCTGGGGTGGTGGAACTTCGAGAACAGGTTCTGGTGGTGATGCTATTTTACCTGACTGAGCCATATCGCTCTTCACGTTTAATTATTCCGTATATTTGAATAATATAATCTGATGCGATATAAAATTAATCTAAAGAGAAAGAGAAAAAATCAACTTTTAATAAGTAACACTGTTGAAATATACAGCCGAGAAAATTCAGTATGAATCAATCAGCAAAGGTCCATTCATACTACTACAAACACAACACTTTTCTTCACACACGTACACACATCACATCTCTTTTGATTCATATCAGTTGTCACCGAAATAATGGTGAGTAGAGATTTGGCCAAATCAAAAGATATGTTAGGTTTGAAGTTGGAAGAGGCGAGGGAACGACAGAATCTAAATGGCAAAACTATACGAAACTCCGCAGTCTTTAACTGCAGCCATATACACACATACACCTACATACATACACAAACAGACATAGACACAAACACATGTACACACACAAGAAGGACTAATATCGATATTTGAATGAGTAAAGAAGAAACAGATGAATGTTGTCATTGTTGTTTATGTGTATGCATAGTCACGATGATATATGACAAAATATTTCAGATTGTTGTAGAAAATATTTCAATTTTGTATGGAACAAGGAATGTTTTACAAAGAAATGATGAATGAATACGCAGTATATTGTACTTTATTATTAATATGTGCATGTAACTCACTATTTTCAATAAATTAGTGAATTTGATGAAGTAAATTTAATTACTAGTGCTTGTTGACGTATGCAATGATTATTTGTTAAGAAAATAAGTGAAACCATATGATGACAACTTTAATAGGACTTTTTCCATTGCTTTCTTTTTTAAGCATTCTTTTGTTTCATTCGCTGAATGACATTATTGCAACAATCGTATATATCTATAAGCGGTATTTAAGCTACTCCTTTGTGTCAGTATTATGTTGTATAAATTCCTATATTGAGATTTTAATCACACAATAACATCACCGTTAGCATTCAGTGGTACAGCTGAAACCAGAACCGATATAAAGAAGTAAATGATGAGCAGAAAAACATTACTTTCAATTTTCACTTAATATATCTCTCTCCCTCTCTCTCTCCACCCTTTTTCATCATCTTCCACTTTTCACAGGAACGGAACAATTGGTGGAATATGTTAAAATCCTTATTAAGCTATTTCTCTTCTCCCATACTACGTATATGTTAATAATTCGATTCTTCCAAACAGAAAGAAAATGAAAGGATGTGCGTTGAGAGGGAGAGGGAGAAAGAGAAAGAAAGAAACAGATCAAGATTCTGTTAACAAAAGCTAACAACAAACCATACTCTAACAGAAAACGAACTGGGATGGGAATAGTTTTTGACATCCGTTGAAAGGATCGACTTTCGAAATTCCATGAGTTGTGTTATAACGTTACTCAAATTTTAACAATTGCCTAGGCTTACCAAGCAACTTTCCATTACATTTGTAATTAGTTATTAAAATATTAAGCTACTGACTAACTACACTCGGTGATTTATACGAATATACTAATATACTTAAAATACTACTGGCCATATTAACAACAACAAATCTTTAAAATTGTAAAGCAATAATAAGATAACCGGATGAATGTGAAATGAAATCTCTGAAAGGCGAGTTGTAAAAAATTGATAGAAACAAAAGGCAGGAAAGGTAATAAAAATAGAAAATTTGAAACTTCAGCATGCAAACTGAAAAGAAATTTGTAAGTATAACATCTCGGATATCCTTATATTCCAGATGCTTAATCAAGCTGATTCATAATATAGTGCATAGGAGATGGTTGATTGCTTTGCCTTATGAGTTGAAAAATAATAAATAATAGTAATAATAATAATGTCAAATCAAGATACTTAATTTCAAATTCGAATTCAATGATTGTGAAGTTATCTTTGCTACAACAAGAAAACTAACAATATTCAAAAAGAAAAAAAAAAAAAAAAAAAAAAAAACGAAGATTGGATTCTACGAATAACACAGTAACTATAAATGTAATTTCTGCGAAGCATCATAAATATGATGAACAAATTCTTCATTAATACTTAGACTCTCTGGAATAAAACTTCAAAACATATTGAAAAAAATACCAATTAATGGATGGTGTAAATGACTATAAGATTTCAAATTTTTCGTATTTAAATATTAATATATCAAAATATGCATATTATATAACAACACATCGTCAAATGAATTTCATTCGCTGTTAACATGAGTGAAGATTGCTTTTAAATGAATGAAACGATTTGTGATGCTTCATATGTCATGAGCAACGTACGTATGATACGTGAGACTAAAACATTTAAAGACTTGAGAAACTAGTAATTGAAATTAGAGATTTCAGAACCTTCTCTTTCAGAAACTTTAGCTGTACTACCAACTTTCCAGTCTTTCTAACGTCATTACACCAACAACGGCCCACGCTGCACCGGAAACGTTGCATGCCAACCAGAAAGACGGTGAACACTGTGGAGAGCAGTATGCAAAACTTCGTCTCTTCTTCCAATCGTACCAGTAGATATTAAGTTGAGCTTCGTTGAGAGTAAGCTTTCGGAGATGTTTGGGAGATACTTTCATTTCGAGTTTCAATTAGCTTGGTTCTTTCACTACGAGTTTTGAAGTATTCGTGTGTTGAGTTCATGATCTATGTGAAGCAGTTTCATAACTATTTAGGGAGAAGTTTTGATGATCCGAATTCGACGATTGACACGTACTAACTTGAACACACACACACACACACACACTAACTTGAAACCAATTATTGAGCTGTATTTATTTATATATTTATATATAAATATTCAGACACGACGTACTAACTTGAAACCAATTATTGAGCTGTATTTATATAAATATTCAGTTATCTTTTAGCAAAACTTATCACGTGCGGTACTGTTCACGTATTCTCGCTGATCTGGATAGTTATCTGAAAAGTTTTCGGTCCGAGCTGGATCAAACAATAGTACTGATGGATTATTTGAAGAAACTCTTGGATTCAGTATGTCCACCAAAAGGCTGCCATACTGCTGTGTCTTCGAAAGCACCCATTGTGACACTGGTAACTTATGGTATTGGTAATCACTGGTAGTCTTTAATACTGCTAACCTATGCGAATATAATTTAAGTGTGTCAGAATATGGGAGAACTTAATAATCGGGCTTACTTTTCTTGGTTGTCCATCTAATAAAAGCCCCGACAGATCATAGACTGGTGATCGGTTCGTGCTATTCTCGAATATACTGTTTCGACCAAAAAAGGATAAATTTACTAAATTTGGAAAAATGAGTGCTGAAAATAAGTACCGGAACTACGTCGATATAATCTGAAAATTTGCAACTAAAAAACTGCAGCAAACTTTAATTTGAAATTACAAAAAAACAAATTATAATCTTGAAAAAACTTTTTTATGGTATTTATTTATCCTGGGTAAAATGCTGAGATTTCTTGTTATGTATCTTCAATGATAAATTACCTTTTTATATCTTACCGTTTCTGATTTTTCTAGGGCTTTATAAAAGAATCACATTTGGTCCGTCTGGCAGGTTTCTCAGGTGTTTTGGCAATATCACTAGGTGCATATGGAGCACATGTTTTGCGTGAAGGTGGAAATGCAGATGAACGGCGTGTTCGTGCTTTTGAAACCGGGAATCGTTATCATCTGATACATTCAGTAATGCTATTCCTTGCTAATAAGGCACGCTTCCCATGGCTTACTGTTTCGCTTTTCCTCGGTGGCATGGTAGTCTTCTCTGGATCTTGCTACCACTACAGTATGACTGGTAAAGACTGTCTGAGAAAATACACTCCGATCGGTGGTGTGATGTATATTTTAGCATGGCTTTCGTTCCTATTTTGATCAGACTTTCCATATCTTTTTAATGTTAACTTCCCTTTTTTAGATTTAAATGTAACGTTTAATGTACTTCTCCATTGATATATATTTTGATCAATTATATGTAATCCTATGCGAAAGATTTCTCAAAAATTTGTTGCAAATGTTATGCATCATTAATAAAAGTAATAAATTATGTTTTAAAATCCTTATTGCTTCCAGAATGCTGAATTTTGGATAACATTGGCATATTTTCTTTGTTCCAAAATAGCAATTAATCCCAGAAATCTTATTCTTCTTGTTTCATTACATCTTGTAGCAATTCATAGTTGATTTGTTAGGTTCAAAATCACAGTATGTTTCCACTCTTTAAACGATGAGCAAAAAAAGCAGGAACAGTTCCAGTGAATTCCAGACTTAACTAACTTCTCAACTGATATAAGGGTAGTTATACATTCAAGAAAAGAAGGGATATTTTTGCCTTTTGTTCAAATGATGTACGATCTAAATAGTGCTCGTATTATACATTTTCGTAAGGAGACATTCAAACAATTTGGAAGTTTCAGATGAAGTTTGCGCTAATACTAATACATTCTTTAAAAGTTTGTCCGAAAGTATTCATTTGGAACATTTTTGGAAAATATTTGAAAAAATGAAAATAGGTGCTTTTATCAAGGGCTCACGCTCCGATCTTTTTGATTTTCGTGGGATTCCTTACAATTTAACAAATACATTAAATGCATTTCCGTTATCATCTGGAATGGAAAAAATCTATAAAAAAAAAAAAAAAAAAAGAAAAATGACAGAATAGGATATGGGTCTAGAGATCAAGACACTGAAAAAATACATTAAAAATATGAATAAATTATGCGCAGCTTTCATTTGCTTGTATATCTTCTGCGGATGGTAATGCTGTGAGAACTCCTATCTGCAAAATAATCATTTCTAAGTTAAAACTTGTATTACTTTAGTGTAAAGATTTTTAGGTTGAAGCATAATTGGCAATCTAATTATAAATTAATGATGTATAAAGCAGAACTATCGATAATGCAGGAATATAATAGTGTAGAAACTGATAGACTTCTGGTTGTCTGTCTCTGCATTTTTCCCTTATATACTCTTTCTAACGAATCCACTGTGAAACTTATATCTAAGTATGATTCCATCATGGGAACATTATCGTCCCTGCCTTGTAATACGAAAATTAGCCAACCATATTTATATAAATTATACTTCCACAGGACATTAAAACCGTACAATTAATATTATCATGATAAAGGGCATTGTCCAACCAAATTTTAAGTCTTAATTAGAATTTAGAAGTCAGGCGGTAAAATTTCAAAATTATGATTAAGAAGTTGAGATGAGTCATGGATAGACAAATGAACCATATAATCCTAACATTACGGATAAATACCTTTAGCATTAATAGATGAGGAAAAGGCCCATTTTGGAGTTTCCTCTTTGAGTACCTTCACTAATTCTTCGATTTCTTGCGTTGTCATACCGATTGCACAAGCAACATTCAAGTAACCGTCATGTTGTCGTGATGAATGTGAGCCGAAATTGAGGAATTCATAGCCGTCAATTGTTCTTAACAAACCATTTGGTATCGTTCGAGCACCGGTAACACCGCGACTAAACAACTGAGCACCGAAAGCATTTTGTTGTTGGCTTGTCCAACCCTTCAAAGTGACTGCTAAGGAAATCCGATTCATTTTAACTTCCATGACCTGAAACAAAATCAAAGCAAACTCTAGAGTATGGGTTTTACTCAGTCAAATGCTTGACTGATTGTAAGTTCGCCAAACGTAGAATCCCATGAAATTTTGATGTCAGACAATGAAAATTTTAAAGTAAAGTAAAACCATACCCATCAGAAAGTTTTTCAGGCTCAGTTTTATCACATTAGACATCCGAACTGATGATATCATGGCTTGCACTGCTTTTTTTTACCGGTTGCATACATAAGTGACCGGCAAGAGAAGTTCAACACATGTATAACAACACTGTGGAAATTATAGAGATTTCTTGACTTCAAGAAATCCGATTAATAGATACTATTTCTGCTGGAAGAGATATGCTGTCCTGCTTATCATTCTAACGGTTTGCTATTTTTATTCTATCTATCCATCCACTGATTTATGTATATTTCTAAAATTCCCTCACCTTCTGTCCAATAGTTTCAGCATATTCCTGCATTGTTGCATGCAAGACTTGGAAATTCGTTTGCTGCGTGTTATAAAGCTCTTTTAGCCCAGTTTTACCTAACTGCAACAACGTAATCAACAAATCACGCGATGGTACTATGGAGGCTCGTCCAGGATAGAAATTAGCTATCATATCCAAGGATTTTTTATCAAATGTTGCCACGATAGAACCACCTACTGGTACTAAGAAATTTTTATCCGTTGACTGTATAAAAGCATCGATATATCCTACTGAACCGGCTTCTTCGATCCGATTTCGACATTCTGGTGATTGTAAACCGTAAGCATTATTTACCAAATGTTTTACACCATATTTGGTACATAATTCACCGATAGCAATTAAATTATCTGGCTGACGAGGAGCAAAACAGGAAGTGGTGCTTAGCACGGCGATAATTTCATCCTTTTGTTTCTCCAAAACAATTTTCAAAGCAGTAAGATCCGTAATCAGCCCATCACTTATCACAGTTTCTTGGATACCATCAATTATAATCGGTTCAAAGCCAGCGGTAAAAATGGATTTGAAGCATGATTTTTGATCAATACGTAGAAAAACCACAAATTTGGCGCGACGTTTCGTGTGTCGCCATGCACTCAAACATAGCGAAAGTGCCATACCGGTTGCAACAGGTACTACCATGGCTGCTTTCGTACTTGGTATCCCAAGACAACGAATAGCATCCAAGGCAAGCTTATTGGCAATTTCTGAAAGAATGGACGAACCAATGGCTTTTGGTTGACGCTCGGTTAAATTCCCAGATCTGCCGATTCCATGCGCTAAACCGTAATGTAGCTGTTGAACTAGTGGCGATAGAATACGACCTTCACGTTCGCCAGCTCCAACGCATATTGTATCGAAGCGATTATTAGAGTCTAAACTTGCTAAACGTGCTAGAAATCCCCCAATGGCTTGCACAGGCAAGCCAATTTCCGGTATACTACCATCACGCCTCAATACTGCTTGCAATCGATTAAAACAGCGTGCAGTACGATCACTTGCTTCTTGTTCGGTTTTCATTTTACTCAGTCTGAAAGTAACCGTTCCTTTAAAGTTTTGCAATATACAGTAAAACAAAACAGATGAGAAAATTTTGCCGATAAAATTCAAAACCAATTCTTGTATTCAAATTTTGTATCATTCATGTAGAGGATAGACAATAAGTAGTGTTTAACTTTCTATGAATTTCCTTAACCGCAATTCTGAAATACCTTTCGGGAAATATCACCCCTCTGCCCCTCACAGAAGCCACTAATTTCTGCCTAATATTTCAAAATACCTATGCTGAAAAGTTCTTTCAGTCTACAATCCTGAAATTTCTGGGTTCTCGCATGCAAATATTACATACATGAAAACCAAAAGCATTGCTTTCTAGATCTTTTCGCAAATAAAAGGCATAATCCCAATCTCTTTTGACGGAAACAAATTGGACTACCGTCGTTTGAACAAAGATTAGCTGGAATCTTTCGACTGATGCGTCCCTTATTTTAAATTAGGGATGAACTAGGTAGGCTGGTAGGAAATACAGTCTGAGAGTCAAATGTAGATGCATGCATACAGTGTGCTACCATAAAATTTTATAACGAACAATCTTTTTAATAACAAATTTTGTTCAAATCATATGATATAAAAGCTTATTCAATCTGACAAAAAGAACAATATATCCAACAAAACATGCGAATTAACGATTTGATTTCGCAACACGTTCCAATTCGTCTTTCTTTTTGATTGCATAAGAATTCGACGACCCCTTCGCTGCATTGATCAATTCGTCTGCCAAACACTCGGCAATTGATTTGATATTACGGAATGCAGCTTCACGTGCACCAGTACACAGCAGCCAAATAGCCTGTAACAAAATTACACTTTCTCTTTAGGAAACAATAATAAGCTGAAGTTATGCGTCACTTTTTAGTCTCACCAAGTAGTAGGGAGATGAAACATTATTTGATGCGTAACAGAAGAAATAATTGCAGAGAAGTGAAACTTCAATTCAAAAAACTCCCAACTTTAACTTTCTCAAAGAAATTCGAAATATGTACTGTCTAGGGCTAAACAGAGGTTCCTGTTGTCGTTTTTTAAATACAATAATAAGAATGCATACAGTCTATATACATTTTGGTAATGACAACAACGCTCTTCAACTATAAAAAAGACCTGATTTACACGACGAAGAGGTGACACATCAACAGCTTGCCGCCTTACTGTACCTGCACGACCAATACGTGTTGAATCTTCCCTTGGTCCACTATTTATAACAGCGTGAACAAGTACTTGCACAGGATTCTGAATTATACCTTGCAATGAATGTTTAAACCCATAAAAGAAAAATCCTGTTTCTTCTGCGAGTTAAATTAACTTATGCTATAATTATGCACTACTTTATTCTCTAATATTCCTCATCTGCACATTTTTGCTGCTGAAAGTTACTTAATATGTATATATCGAATAGTTTCAAAATGCAAAATATCTTGAATTTTATCTCAATCAGCAGGATTCTGAATAAACTAGTTAGGAAAATCAAGCTCTTGTATCTTTATTTTCATGATATAAAATTTCGCACATTTCGTAGTTTGTCAAACATTTTTCTGGATTTTATGTCTGAAATAAGACGAATGAGCCGGAAAGTTAGTGACAAAATAAGCTAGTCAAAAAAAAAAAGAAATAGGTAAAAAAAGAGTGCACCTCTCCAGACAACAAATGAATTATTTCGAAAGCATGTTTGACGATACGCACAGTCATCAGCTTCTTTCCGTTGTTCCGACCATGCATCATCATTGTTGATGCAAGTCTTTCTACCAGTGGGCATGTCGCTTTACGAAAACGCTTGACTTGATATCGACCAGCACTATGCGGAAGGTATTTTGCTGATTTCCCTTTTACGGCAATGTAATCCTGCAAAGCACTGATTTGCTGGCGAGTTTCATTTCTATCAAAGCAGTAATATGAAAAAAAAAGCCTGAACCATTCATGTGGCACTAATTTTTCAATTAACGTACGTGTACTTGTTTCAATTTAAGGTTAAGCAACAGTAGATAACAACAAAAGCATACATAAAACTGACCACTAAGGAAATATCGGAAATGTGAACTTCGTCCAGTGACCATTTACCAAAAAGTTTCACTTCCGGTGCCTCTGACGGACCTAGTGGTTCATCATAACCAGTAACGTCATTTGCTTCGGTTACCCACTGGTCAGACATATTCACGCAAAAATCGCTTCACCAAATATCTGAAAGAAAAAAGACCGTTAATATATTACATATATTACAAAGATCGAGCTAGAAGATTCGCATATGTCGCACCCAGCTATAAACCTTACTGAACTGTGCTATTAAACGCATTACATGAAGTATGCCAAACTAATCAACAATAAATAATGGATATGTAGACTATGATAACACTAATATCCGGTTAATGAAAAGAAAGAAATAAGGAAATAGCATCACTCATGTTCTTAAATTCAACCAACAAATCAAGGTAGCAATTAATATAACAAATAATTATTAATCTAATGATAACTCAACTCAAATATGTTAATCGATGAATATTAACGATACACTGGTGAAAACAACACCAACATCTAACTGTCCAAATAAAATTATTAAATTGCGGTAATGAATTAAAGCTAAAATAACAAAAAAGACAATGATACAGAATTCTCGTTTTGTAACCTAAAAATTTGCATGAAGAAAGAAATGCCACACTTAAATATTGTTAATACAATTGCTTATCACTCTACTGTAGCACAAATGGCAACAAGAAACAGATAACACATCGAAAAAAAAGCCCTAAGCCTTAGCCACTCCAGCAGATCCAATATAAATTAAGCCTCAGCGTTCCATCACATATCCTTGTGCTCCATCCGATTGGGACATTGCGACAATGCACCATCTCACCAGAGCGATTGTTGTAAATTGCTTGTGTAATGGATTTAAGAACATATTTAACTGCTTGGTGATATATTTTTTTCATTCACGTGATGATATTGGGTGATACTTTCATGAAAATTATAAATAATAAAAGGAACGTCTTTGCGCTTCAAAATCTAAAACAAAAAAAAAAATATTCGAAATAGAGCCGTGCAATCAACCATATCAGTTCCATCATGCTTTGCTCGTATGTAATTCACAAAATTGGTTAGATTATATATATGTTTATTTATTTACTTCATTAAAATGCTAAGATTGTATATACATGTAATACTTAATTGTTTAATTCTGAATTTCATTATTGACGGTGATATCATTATGATTATATTATCATAAAATCGTTGTAACAGGAATCAATTGGAAATGATTATGTGGACATCTCCGAGAATATAAACGTATCTTTATTTGTTTATTTATTTATTAAGGCATAATTTCATTATCTTATCTTTGTTATAAGTATTCACTCTTTCTTTTGCTCATTTGCTCTCAATCACTGTTACTACTGCGATGCACACATTCAAACTATTTCTCAGTCTCTGCTCACTGATAACAATGTTATTTTATGATTATATCATTCCATATTTTCTCTCATATTCCAGTACTACTTCTTACTACCAATGTTTTATTTAGTTTATATTAATTCCGTTAATTTAAGATTTTACAGATGTCATTCATCCTTTGCTTTAGATGGTTAAACATGCATTGTTTTGATTGACAATTTTTCTAGTTTATTTCCGGCAGAATTACTGAGTGGCAAATTTGTCTTTTCTTTCTCCATTACATAAGCAATATTTCTTCAAATCGTGGAATTTCTCACAATTAAATTAAATGTTTCCAAACTTATTTAGTATCCGTATATAAATAGCCATATTATATCACTCGTATATTTGTGGCCAGTTATATGTCTTTGGCTGTAATTGTTTGAGAGTTATTCTTGGCTCCACTCTTATGATAGCAATCGATTCAATCAGAGGAAGTATACGTGAGGTATGTCGTTGAAATTGGAAGTTTCATTTAATTGCTTAACTTTGTAATACCTTTATCCTTCCTATACGAGACTTTTTTTTTCCGTTTGGAATATTCAACAACATATCAATTTATCAATATGAAAATAAATTAAGACACAAAAATAATGATATGTGTTCAGTAATCATCTCTCGAGATTTCCCATATAATCATCAATAGTAGCAACCTTCACTCATTTGTGCGCAAGTAACATTTTGCAATCGACGATGTAATGAGTGAAACGTGGGACGTTCCTGTGAATTACTGTTCCAGCATGGCAGTATAAATTCTTGATAAAAAGTGACAGATGAAAAGTCGGGCCTTTCCAAATAGAACTAAAAAATGGAATTTTGTTTTTAGAAATTCATGACTATTTAATCAATTTCAAAGATTATAAAACACTGAATGTTTTACACTAGATTGGGACTCTAATAACAGGGCCTTTTAAATAAATTTTGATATATACTGACTATGTTATTGCAATGATGAGAAGTTAAAAAGTAAGAGTGTATATAAACTAAAGCCTCAGAGGTTCCTAAAAAATTAAATAAATTCAATCCTTAATTTTCAATATAATAAAACAAAAAGCAAAGGCATGAATACATGCATACCGATAAGTGATAACAGAAGGTTAATGTAGACATGACATTTCCATTCATTTATTCACTAACCTTTAACATCCCATTTTGTCGCATAAATAATAAATTTCGATATACATCGTTATCAGTCATCATTTTATAAGGATATTTATGACAACCATTAAGGACTTCCCAAAGTGTAACACCGAACGACCATACATCGCCTTTAATTGTAATTTTTTTCTGGAAATTAACATAATTAATTTTAACTTTATCAGTTTATTACAAACATTATGAGCAACAAACTTGTATTCTTGTAACCATAATAATGTAAATTACTATTCCATCCTTGGCCTAAGTGTAGGAATAAACATTAATGAATGTAAATTATTGATACTTGTCACATCATTATTTTTACTAAAGTTATTTATTATATCTATTTCACTTAAATTACATTTTTACATTTTATTTATTTATTACTTCCTCATCTATCATCTGTCACCACTTACTATGTCTTAATTCAGTTGTGACCATTTCAAAATTCTAAACCAATGAATTATCCAAAGATTAAATTAAAGCACAAAACTTCGGAATTTCTCAATTCTTAAGTCAATTTTATTTTCAGTCATTAATTTTAAATGTGATCTAACTTCTGCGACTGCCTCCCAAGACATCCAGCGCATTCGTCCACGATCTATTGGATCATCTGTTTCAAAGTGATCCAATGTATAAGCCATATTGAAATTGGTGAGTTTAACGGTACCATCATTAGCAACCATACAATTACTCGCCGAAAGGTTTCCATGGATGAAATTTTTAGATTCCAAATATGACATTCCAGCTGCAATTTGCGTGCTTACTGATAGTAGTAGTTCAGTCCTGCAATAGGCTAATATAAACGAAAGTTATTAATATGAGATGTACATATCTATGCGTGATGTTTGTTGATTTTAAATCATTTTCTTACATTAACAATTGTAAACATTTTAAAAATTTCGAAGAAGCAATCTTTGACCTGTATGATATCTCATTGTTCAGGCTTCGAAGATACTGATCAAGATACTGTTCGATATATTCATGAATACAGCTTGTTAATACACCATCAAAGCAGACACCAATCACTTCTAATATATTTTGATGCCTTAGACTACTTAATTCACCCACAATTATTTCAAATTCTCTTCGATTATCACGACTTCTATGGAATGTTTTATTCACCATTGTACGCTGTTCCAATTGACAAAGCCAAATCTGAATTCTTAGAGTCGTTAAGGTAGAAATGATCAATTGAACGATAAATTTGCTTATTGCTACTGCATTACAGTACTCGAAAAAGGCATTATTTCTCCTATTTTTTTCGAAAAAGAAGAATTCTCAACAATTAAGCAATAAGCTAATTAACCAACCTCACCAAATCGACTATTACCCAAATGTTCATGAAATCTTAGACATTTTGAATCAATTTCGACGAAATTTGTTGATCTATTTGTATCATAACCGCTAGCTATTTGAGATGTCATTGAATTCCTTAAACACAAAATGATGGGGAAAAAAAATGATCGATTGATATTTGGAACTGCGAAGCGACATTTGTCAATGTTTGTGGGTTCAATTTTTTTTTTTTTGTAGAAGTACTTACTCCATTAACGCATATCCTAATTGTCGTGGATGTCGCATACAAACATCATTTGAAACATAATGAATTGTGGAATTGGTAAGAGATTTTGTGGGATCGCATATGGTTGTATTGTTAACTCCGATAATTTCCATATCATTGCTAGTGATAAGTTAGTTCAATTAACGATGCAAAGAAGTAACATAAAAAAGAAGTAATTCAATTTTATGTTAATCTCAGAATCGTTGCAATGAAGCTTTGAAAATCTTTAAACAATATTTCGGCATGCCGTAAAAATCTTTGACACATATAAGCTTTAGATAATATTATGTTTTATTTCACATTACTGAAAATTTCATACCTATGATCTGATTTTTTTTTTTTTTCATACAATAACCTTTACCACACAGATCGCTGATTAAAATTTTTCTAAGATGTCACATATTTAATTTATCAAATCGAAGAAGCATTTTGCTTTGCATTACATACATAGATAGAGTGATTCACAAAATAAAGGAGTATACCTGATATAGTTTGGCTCAGCATATTCACTACCTGAAGACTGATTAGCGTGAAGTTTTTCCAACAACGAATTTTGCATGTTGTCATTGGTCATACAATAAGCATTAGGTGACGTACGCTAAAAATAATATCAATATTTTATTGATATTCTAATTTTAAGAGAAGAAAAATTTAAATCGACTTTTTGAAAAGGATACAATTATGATTATAATTTCATTCTTAAGCGATTATGGGATTCTAAATTTTGACTAGCAATTTTAAGCAAATTTTAATATGACAAATCTTGCTTTTTCGTAGTCATTTCTGTATAATTTTTTACAAAATTTCGAGTGGAAATTTCACTTAAAAATTTTGGATGATTTTTAAAAATAAGAAACCTTAATTGTTTGTTTTTCAACTGCCATTCGTACATCTTTCGAATTTTTTTTTAACACTATAAATGGTCCTTTTCGTGAAAATGCACGACGATAAATCCATAGCAAATAGAAAAGAATAATGAGAGCACAGAATAGGAAAAGAAGTGATATTATTACAGCTGAAAATATTAATGTCACATCACATTCCTAATTTAAAAATTTTAAAATTCCGAAAATACTATTTAATATTAATGCATGAAGTGCTATGCAAGTTTGAATGATATCATCGATTATAATTCAAATATTGCATAGATCAAAATGAACTTAAAACTTTTTTTTTCATATATTAGGTAACAAAAGACGTGCACAAATTTCTTGTAAACTTTTTAGATAGGCATTAATTATTATTATAATTACAAACCGATTGATATCCATCGTATGCCATCTTCAGATGCATCATTAATAGCAAAGTAAGTTAGCGTATCACCTCGGTTTGATGGATGATTCAAATCAAATTCCTCGTCATCCATATCATCTGATTTAAACATTTCATTTGCTGCAATACTTTTTATGAATCATAGCATTTCTTTAATTATTTTACTAATTATTAAATCGTACACTGTTTGGTAATCTGCATTCTAATCTTATAATTGTAGTTCTACAATGGGATAGATTATTAAGAACAAAACATTTCCGTCTTAGTTTAAAGAAATAAATGCTGAAACTAACTAAATTCAAATTTAATTTCACTCAGCAATAACCAAGAGCTGTTTTTTGAGAAAGTTAGTTCGACTCGTAATTCTTTAGCAATTCGGCTTGGCACCGGTATTCGTACCCATCTAAAATCCTGTTACATGAAAAAAAAAAAAAAAAAAAGGAAAAATAATATTGAACACAATACACATATTTATATCATAGTAGTGTATTCAAAAAAAGATGTTGATAATGTGAACAATTAAAAAGTCATAGTTTTTTCTATAGCTTAAAATTACAATTTCACTTATTCCTGCCACTGATTGATTATCCCACTGTGACAATTTATAAAACAAACCTGGCTGATTGGAAATTTTTGTCAGGGATGTAATTAAAATGCAATGTTCTCGGTGAATATTGACCTCCACCTTGTGATGAGAACCATACATGTGCTCGTTTAAATACCTAAAATAATAATAAAACTATTTGCTTAAAATTTAATCCGACATTCAAAAATATACAGCACGACAAAATCTTTTTTAAATTTGAGAAAAAATCTGGATGATTGGTAATAATCTTCTAGTTAACTTCTTTTTTAAATTAATTTCTAACTTTTATGCAAAAATTGCAATGAACAGTTAAAGATAAACGACTAAATATCTTATTAGAAATAAAACGTAATCAAAATGCACATGTATATCTGATGAATAAATGCAACATATTATTTGTTTGTAATTTTTACGTATATTACACGTAATTGAGACGTAAATTTTCGAAAAATATGGTCCACGATTCGGGCTATCAAATCTATTCTATTTATTAGTCAAAGTTTTAGTGATTTAAAAATATAATTATGCCTAGCATTATCATGATTTAATTTTTAATCCTAACTGATAGGCCTCAATTAATCTTTAATCTTGTGGGATAAGCTTCAACCAATCCGTAATCCTAAATGGTAGTTATAATCTCAAATTTAGTGTAATAATCTGCTATACCTGAGCTCCACTTTTCAAGAAATTTGACACATGAAATAAAATGGCATTGATAATTTTCTTCTTTGCAAACAATACTTCAATTGTAATAGTTGCTCCTACAATAGAAATTTTGCTTTGTATTAGCAAAGAAGTAAGTCTAACAGAATTGCAAGGGTTAAGCAGTAAATAATGCAATAAAATAAATTGTAGATTGTTTTAAGCAATTATAAACTATTTTATGGCATGCAAAATAAATGGCTGGAAAAGTTTAGTAAAGTAATAACTTACGAAATGTTAGGATAACAAAGTAATAGTAAGCTTAAGTTGTTTTTTTTTCTTTAATTATCGAAAACTTAACCAAAGTTAACTTTTTCACTTTCGTTTTTTATTTAAAGATAAATAGATTACATTTTATTAAAAAAAAAAAAAAAAAAAATTAATCTTAAAAGTAAACGAATGACAAATATGAATAAACAGGAAAAAGATCAAAATTTAAAAAGTTTTCGATAATACCATGTTTTTCTCTATTCCAACCGATCCATTTCTCAGGATAGCTCTCAAAATTATCCATGCCAACAGCACCATCATATAATTTGCCAAGGCCTTTGACCAAATACCCTGATGAATTTGTAATTCCGTCATACGATATATCTCTCAGGTTTAAACCGTCTATTATATCACCTTCCGGTATTACATAGGATAAAATTTGATCTGAAATAGTACTTGTACGATGAAAACTGAAAAATCAAAATAGTATAAAGACACCATTTCAGGTTTGTAAAAGTGGTTCTTTTTCGTTTTTCATTTTTTAAAACTGTAATTCATTTAATCTCTAATTTATTTAAACACCATTCTAATTCTTCCAATTATGATAAAATGACAAAATTTTGTGACCTCTATAAGAACATCCATAGAGTTCAATACGCATGCAAACGGTACGCGTTACTTCAGAAACAGGTATAACACGTAAATTTCGTGCCACAATACCACCATCTAAAGCTCGGAATACTGTCGATTGCGTATCACTATTTCCAGCCATCACCTATAAAACTTCCTTTTTCTAATCTTTATTTTACTGTAATGTAAGTTATACGTTTACGTAAGCAATCAAAGATACCAATCGTCTCAATTCAAGAAAATATAAAAATTAAAAATATTTTGTTGTTATTTTGTCTAATATACATCGAACATTTTACAATTCATACGATCAAAACGAACTGACTTCTTAGTTCTACTTTAGCTTACTAAATTCTTTTTTAGATACTTTATTGAGAAGTTTGATGATTAACTCTGCGTTATTCTCACACCTTCGTTATTTTGCCTTAAATTTTTCTAAAAAAATTATTGGAGAAAATTTGGATAGTTTGGAAGAATTATATAATTTGAACAATATAAGTTTACGCAAATCTGAAGAATTTTCTCCCAAATCATCATTTTATTTGCCTTTGGTATATATATTTGTTACATAATGAGTGGTAAGCTTTAATGAATTGTATAACTAAGTAAACAAATTTTTGATATGATTGCATAGTCATCTATTTATGTATATTAGAAATCATTTGCATATAATTCTTAAATTTCTTAGATTTCCCTAACTGATTGAATAATTACTGTGCAATAATTAGGCAATTAATTTATTTATTTAAGTTAATTTTGCAACAGTAAATAATGAAAACGATAAAGATAAATTTATTTATTGTGTATACCAATCTGTTATATAAATATCATTCATTCACAAACAAAAAGTGAAAAAACTTTCTTTTTTTTAAAACTGATCATATATTTGTTTTTTTTTTTAATTGAAAAATCGACTTTTAGATATTAAAATTAATTCCAATCATATTTCAAAACAGAACAGCTATTACTTCATTTTGTTTTCCATCTTTATACCGTGCCCAAGTACCAAGACTTTCACGCCAATACTCCAACATATAACCTGGCGCATATTCTAGACCACGTCCGCCATCGAAACGTCCTTGTGTTTCAACAGCTGTTATCACCATATCCATATCAAAATCAATTTGTAGCCATTCAACTGTTTCAGAGTTGATTTGTTGACGTGGACACCACGCACCACTTCCACGTTCCGTCCGTATCCTACAAAAAAAAAAAAAAAAAAAACGAAATACATTTTGATATTATTTATTTTTTTTATTTATGAAATATATTCCTTATGTCACGATGTTTCTAGAATTGCAAAATCACGTGACAAGCTTGTGCAACGTGACCTTTAGAAAAGGAAATCATGAAAGATCATTCATCACTAAGTTTATTCATAATATTTTGCATCAATTTCACTTTAACTAGATTAATATGATGGGCTTGCTAAAGTCTTCCATTATAAACTTTGCTAACTTAGAGAAGAAGAGAAAATGATCAAATTATAAAGTTTTCAAAATTAAAAAATTTTTATCAAATTTTTTCAGTTCAATTTACTTCTGTTTATATATATTTAAATATGTCAGAAAATTTTTTCAATTAACAGTTTTCCTATTTCAGTCATTTAGCACGAATAAAGAAAACGCTACAAAAATTTTCATATTAGTTCAAAGATTATTGACCATTACTAGCACCAACTACTACTAACTATTCTTATCAATAATGTTAACAGATCATTCATCCAATTCACTGATAAAATTACACAAGTTTTACTTAACTTCAGATTATATAATGTTTCGGAATGAATGATATAAGTGCATAAAAGTAATGCAAATTTAAAAAACTAATCCAAAAAAAAAAATCGATGTCATTTTGATAATTAATAGGTTTTAGTCATTTAAATGCATTTATGCTATATCAATTATAGCAATAGAAGTAATCGTTTATTTTCTTCTCCATTCGCAATGTAATAATAATAATAATAATAATAATAATAATAATAATAATAATAATAATAATAATAATAATAATAATAATAATAATAATAATAATAATAATAATAGTAATAATAATAATAATAATAATAATAATAATAATAATAATAATAATAATAATAATAATAATAATAATAATAATAATAATAATAATAATAATAATAATAAAAATAGCCTGGTGCCAGTTAAATTCAATTTCATTTTTCTTTTTAAGTTATTTTATGCATTAGCAATATTGCATACAATGATAATAAAATAATATGCGGTAAAATTATTGGATTTTCTTTTTTGTTCTTTATGAAATTAATCCAATTTACTGGAGCGAAAAATTTTAAATTAAATTTAAATTAAATGAATATGAAGTTTTTAGAATTAAATATCTTTCATTGCAATAAATATTTTTCTTTCCTTCTTTCTCTAACAAATTAGATTGAATATGAAAAAGATGAATGAAAAATTTATAAGATTATTTGAGTGATTTTTGCATCCCTTTTGATTACTATTTTAGAAAAATATATGAAATAAAATTGGAAACATTCAAATTTCATTTCAAAAAATTTCTTATACATCATACATACACATATCTAACACATTATGCATATGGAGTGAAAATTTATTACAAACATCACATGGTATCACCTAAAACTTCTTATCAATAATTAGTCACAATTAATTGTGTTAATTGTGTTAACAAATCTTTCCTACCTTTATTCTTAGTCTTTGTTTACCAAAATTCATTTAAATTTCAATTGTAACGTTTGCAATTTTAATAATTAAATAACCTTTAGCAATAATTTTACCTTATTTCTAAAATTTCTTTGATTATTAGATATATTTATGCATATTGTTATCTTTCTACACTTAATCAAATATGGATGAAATCAGGGCAATAAATGTTTTGTAAATAAAGAAGAGACCAAATGGTTTAAATGAATTCAATTAATTGCTCATTGCAGCAATTCCATACGTATTGCAAATAAAATTACTTTAAAGCAGTGATATGGAATAATGTTAGAGCATAAATTTAAGCAAAGATATGACGAATCCAATTTGTCAACAATAAATAATAAATCTTGCAAGTGTGTTAATTTCAAATGTAACATTGAATTATGAAGGTTTTTAGAATTAAATCGGCTTAGAAAATTATAAACTTTATCATTTGCTAAGCTGATTTGAAATGAATTTGAAATTCGTTTATCTGATTTTTTATCATAATTTTTTCTCCTTTATCTGAAGTCCATTTGGACAAACTCAGGTTGCGATAGATTTCACTATATTAACTAATTTGAATTAATTCAGATTTTTTAATTCAAAGCTATTCAAAAAAAAAAAAAAAAGTTCAAAGACCTATTCAAATTATTTCCCTTATTTTCTTTGATTATATCAGTACCAAAGTGTTCAGTTTCATTTAAAACTCACAATAATAAAATTTAGATTTATTTATATTGAATTGAATTTAAATAATTTGCAATTTTTATGAGGGACAGAAAGTTGATGCAAAAATAATTTATCAAATAACCTAGAATTCTGTGGCCCAGTAGTGTCTTTATCATGACTTGAACTTGCCGATAATTGATTGTCTTTGATAAGACCCGATTCCATACCCAATGGGTTTGCACATTTTTCTGAAATACAACAAATAAAAAAATTAATATTAAAATAAAATGGATAAATAGGAAGAATTTAAAAACTTTCTCGTTATTCCAAAAAAGAAGGAAAGAGAAAAGATCCCTTTACGAAAAAGCAAGGAAAAAAAAAGGAAAAAGAAAAAAAGGGAAAGAATTTAATTATAGGAAATTAGCAATGAAATAAATTTCTATTCATTGTACTGTCCCATCATTTTAATTTGAGAAATGTATCATATCGTATTTAATTAATGGCGTCGGCTAATGGTAAATTATATGTTTGTATTCAGAATTGGTCATCCCTTTTCCATTTAATCATAACCTATTTAGTTGTGCTACTCTATTGCTTCCATTTTCTATTTCTAATATCTTCAAATCAATCTTCTTTTAGTCAGGAAAGAATAAAAAAGCAAAAACTACTATAAGCTTAACCTTTGACCCCTCCCAAAGATCCCTATTGTTCATGAGCAAACAACTAGAACAATGCAAAAAGTATTTGTTTATTGCAATGCATTTAGAAATCAACTATCACTCTAGAATGGTAGTATATCCGGAAAGAATCCGGATATCTGTACTCAATAATAGTTTTTGAAAGTTTTATATGTGATGATAAAACAAAGTTAGTCCTACAGTAATATCCACCTTAATTAATGAGATATTATTTAAGAAAATGTTTATAGTACAGTATTTCGCAAATCGACGGGATTGGAGGTCAAAGGAAAAATAGTTTTCATTATTATTAAATTTATTGGACAATTTTCTTTTTCTGTTTCATCCTTAGAAGTTATTAAGAAATTATCTTAACAGATGGTACCACAATGACACTTTTTATTGCCAATTTAAAAAAAAAAAAAAAAACTATCATTTTTTTTGGTAAGACAAACCAAAATATAATAAAATTTCAAACATAATTAAAAAAAAAGCAGTAAATAAAAATTTATAAATTTATCGCTTACTTTTATTTATTAAACTTCGTTTCTTCCTTATGTAAGAAGAAGTAACAATTCAATTCAAATAGAAACAAAAATTTTAAATACTCCAAAAGTTTTCCTTATTTTATCCATTAAGAGTGGAAAGGAATGAAAAAAGATAAAATATCGATGATATCTTTTTATAACAGATATTAGAAAATTTTGGAAAGCAGCACCTTAATTAAATTTATTACTTCAGCAACAGATGATGCCAAAGAAGGAAAAAGAAATCATAAAATATTTGCTACTAAGGGTTAATACTGATATTCATTATTTATCATTTCTTTCCCATCATTTTTGCTATTATTTATGCATTTGTATTTCACATGTTAATAATAATAAAGCGATAACAAAAACTAATTTCATATAAAATCGTACAACTAAATAATATTTATTATTATAATTATTTTTTTTTCATTTATTATTATTATTATTATTTTCTATTTATTATTATTGTTAATTATTACTGATATTAAACACTATTGTCACCACTATTACGATGAACAAAAGTTTCTTTTATGATATCATCAAAACTTTCCCGAGCCCTTTTTGTAATCAAATTGGAATTTTATGTCCTCCATCGAAATATACTACACTGCAATTTTGCTGGAAACATTTTCATAGTCATACTTAATAATAATTTTAAATATTTTACAATCACTTGAAAAAAAAAAATGCAAATATTTCATCATCAACTGAAAACCATTTCTAATCAAATAAAACAACGGTATTTTCATTTTATAGAAAAAGTTGGAATATTTTTAGGCAAAAAACTTCTATATTTCAATATTTTCATTTTTTCAGCGAAATTTATTCTCTGGAACATTTTTTTGATAATATTAAATTATCATAAAAATATAAAATTAAAAAAAATCGAGCAAACTAAAAAAGTAATGTTTTTCCACTCATTTCCAAACATTACTATTAAATTTATTAATATTTGTACTAAATTAAATTAAGTTAGTGATAAATTGAACAGAATAATTCAATCATTATAGACAATTTCAACGGTTTTTCTTCCTTTTTTTGAAGTTTAAATCAATAGTTAATTGAATTCCTCATAAATTTGACGCTTCATAATCTTATTCAAAAAAAAAATCTTTTTTTTTGAGAAAATAAATATTATTTTGATTTTCATCAAACTATTATCATTATTACGATATACATACAATTGCTTTTTTTTTCACTTCTTGTTTTATCAAATTTTAAACTTTTAATTTGGGGAAGAAATTTTGTGCTTAAAAGTATGAAAATATGGATTATTTAAAAAAAGAGTTGATAAAATAAGTTTTGTTTGAATTCTTCTTTTTCTAAAGAATTAAGCTTAAAACTTAGACAGTGTAAATTTATTAAATTCTTTTTCAAATTTTATTTTTGGGATAGCAATTTATGAGATTGATTAAATTTGAAAGATTTCAATTTGTGTTTGAAAAAAATGATTCAAGTAATTGTATTCTCATTTTTTGCATAGTATCTTATTTATCATTACTTCGAGTGATAATGATTTATTGATTTCGGTGCGCAAATATCAGTACAACCTTGATGGAATTTATCCTCAAGGATGATTTACAATTAGGAAGAAAGTGTTAGAGAGATAAATGGGATGATATGGCATCAACCGTCTCGTAAAATCAACTCTTCAATTGATTTATTACTTTTCACTCCTAACCAAAGGATTCACAGGTTAGGAGGAATTCTCGCAGCTACTTTAGGCGGTAGCCTTTGGTTTTATCAGTAAATAAGCTTGCACGAAACAACTGACCTCTCTCTACCGTAGTTGACCTCATTTTTATTTTTGATATTTTTACTGGTAATTGAAACATTTATCTTTTTGCCCATTATAGCACTCTAAACTGATCAGTAAGGTTATATTTTATATAATGCTTTTCCTAAGAAATTTCTGATAAGGAATGATAATATGGAACGAATTTTATTCTTTTATCAATGAAACAATTCTATGATAAAAGTTCAAATCTTTGGAACTATGGAATTTTACAACACCTTAAGTTTAATTTTGAATATTCAATCAATATCCCAGTTTCAAGTCAATTTTATTAGCTTGCATCGTAAATCTAAAATATTTTTAAAAAACTTTATATATATTCTACACTTGGATTTGTCTGAAAATTAAAAGCTATTTCCATCAATTCTATCGGTCGAAGGTCACTGCTCCGTTTTATGTCTTCGAAATATAATTTGCATTATGTGGGAACATATGGCTCAATATGATGGCCAAGGTAATTGACATAAGCGGTTATTTTCCACTTAGTCATCCATCTACAAGATACTCTCAAGTACCGCGTCGATCATTGTTCACCTCGGTGGAGTTAATTATTTCAAGTTCTCTTCTAACACAAACTTATTAATACTACGATCGAGTAAGGGGCACTTCAATTTCAATGACAACTTCTCTTTTCAATGTCATGTCAGAGGTTTGAAATAGAATCACTTCTATTCTTCTAAAATATTTTCGTTTTAAATCTTAATTGATTTACTATTTTATAAATAATCATATATCATGGATTAAAGTGATTCTATTTAAGCAGTTTCCCCAATCAAAAGAATAAACTTTGATGCTGATCACAATTTCACGACAAAATCTTCTTTCACTGTATATTCGGAAATTTTTTCATGTTATTAATAAATTTGAAATGTGGGAACATTCACAGTTCAAACTGTAATAGTCGAAATCAAATAAACAACAATTTGGAATTATAATTGTTGCACTGAATTTTGAGTAACATTTTGAAAATAAGCCGTTTGTTATATATTAAAAATGAGAAAAAAAAAGATGAAAAACAGAATTTTATATTAGAAAAGAAAAAGGAATCAATTCTTCTTGTTTTATGTATTTTAGAATTAAAATGAACACTAATATGTAATGTTTTAGCCATCTAACGAAATTAAAAAAAGCTAGCAAGCTATTCAGTTATTCCTCAAACATTCCTTAGGCAGTTGTAAAAATTGGATTTCCTTAAAAAATCTAAAATTTAATATCAGAAAAGTTTCAGATATATAGTAACAATTATAACTTATAATAATAATAATAAATAAATAAGTAATGATAAAAATAATAATAATAAATAAATAAGTAATGATAAAAGGACAACTGATATTTATAAATAATTCTTCCAAATAATTTCAATTAAGTGGCTCCGTATTTGATTACTCATTTAATCAATAAGCATCCAACTTTACACTATTAACGCATCGTCTATGTGTAAATAATGATCACACATCTCGTAAAAGTTATTATTCGACATTATCAATTGATAATAATAAAAATATGATGAACTATAAAGACTAACCGCTTTTTCCTTTAAATTTTCCCTTCAAAAATACTTTTTTATTTTATTTTTAGTCTTTTTCTGTATAAGTTTTTTTTGTTGACAGAAAAGATACAACAGAATTTCTCGTACGATATCAGAAATCAATCATATAAATAATGCTCAATTTTTATATCTTTTATTTAACTGCTAAAGAATATATTTGTAAACAACGTGATAAATAATTATTCATTCTTTCTTTATTTTTATTATTGGAATATTATAAAGCATTAATATGTTATGATGAAAAAAAATTTTAATTTCCTTAATTATTTATTTGTTATTTATCTTTAATCATGTTCAAATTCTCATGCTACTGTTCTTTCAATTTTGCATTTGATAAATTAATCTTATGTAATTTTTAAAAAGAAAAAAGGGGTCTTTTTATAAAAATAATTCACTGTCAAGAAAAATAATTCATTGTTAAAACTTTTTCTGCAGTACTAATTTCTCGATATTAAAGAAATTATCAACTTTTTGTCATATAAAATTTCAAATTAAAAGAGAACTTTGTTAGTATTTATAAAATGCAATTGAGCAATAAACTGTGGCTCATTAACGAATAGTTTATGCTTACATAGATTTATTCATCCATGGATAACAAGATTGCTATTTCTGGACCTTCTTTCCTCTCTCCCTAAAGTGTCTCCAAATGTCAAAACAAATTGTAAAAATTATTA